AACCTTGCTTTGATGATCGTGATGCTGGAGGAGATTGGTTGCCACTGCATGAGAGACAGCCTTCGATGCACGTGAAGGGGACATCATGATAGCCACTCGAAAGCTCAGTGTGCTGCTCTCGTGGTTGTCGTCTGTGTGACAATATCGGAGTAGATTAATGATTCTCCAGTTGACAGTTTGGAGAGTCCACTTCCATTCTATCTGCTTTCGGAAATTCCAAGCACTTCAATGTGATACCTCTTCATCTCTTTTGGAATCTGTGCTGCTTTGCTGGGTTCAAACATGTTGCGGACATTCCATGTTTCCATGTTTATTTTCGCTTTCATCGAAGGAGAGGACACATCGGCCTGGCCAATTGGCTTTCCGAAGTCAGGCTTTCACTAACTGGCATCCTTTCTCCTCTCCGATTCCAGCAAGGAATAATTTTGTTATTATTTCTTGTATATCGTTTGTGCTTTGAAGTTTCTTTAGTGGTTAGATTTGTTTTGGGGGTAGGGTTGCTAGCTGTATGCCCAACCTTCCCTGTTTACCCGGACTTAGGACCGGCTAGTAACTAGTGAACTAGTTAAGCAGGCGAGGTTGGATAAGTACTATAGTACTTCCTTATCGAACATCCACTTCAGAGGAAATAAGACGTATCCTTAATCGTTACAATATCACAGTATTCTTTAAGGTGACGAATACATTACTCTCATACATACATTGGAAAGACATCATGTCAAGTACTGACACTTCTAGCCGAACACAGTCAAAGTTGCAAGAATCCACCAAAAAATTTCTATGATCTGCAAAATCTTGAAAAACCTCTGCCATTGCTGCTTATGCCTTATATTCATGTCATTAAAATCATTGGAGAAGATCGAAAGTCTTACAAAATAGTTTTCTTTCTCATAAAGAGCTGATTATTGCAGAAGCTTTGTACATCTGTTCATATCCTTCTCCGGTCAGCAGTAACGATGTGTTAGACATCCAACAAATATACTGGCAGACATTAATGACTTGTATAGACAGTTGTAAATAATATATGAAGAGAAGTTAGAACACAATTTTATCTCACATGATTAATTACGCATTTACTTTTGCTTGAATAGTTTCTGGTGTTATTTCGCTTAATCGTCTTAATCACGTCGAAAAATATTGGTTATATTTTAACAGCTTGTATGGTCCTATTACATAACACTTTATTGATCCACTATTTTTATCAATTTTACCCTCCGTTCTGCGTTATATACATTCTATGAACCATTCTATATAGTAGTATATTTGTTTTTATATGATACCGTCGTTGATTGGATCGAATTGATCGGTCTCTATTGGCATATCGGCTCCTGTGCGGATGCCTCAATATTGTCAGCGTTGTAATTATGTTAATGATGCATCGTGGCTAGCAGTCGAATCCAGAATGCGCATTTCGTCCTTCTCGGGATTCATTGGTCAGCTGGATGTACCTGCTTCCCACTGAGTGATGTTGTTCCCACCGGGATTCCGACTCTGGAGCGATCGCTTCAATTGCCGGGGTGTTATCCACTACACCACCGATCCACGGGTATAGTTTTTGGTATAATTGTTTTTATATGATGCCGTCGTTGATTCGACCGAATTGATCCGTCTTTATTAGATACATCCAAGTGCGTCTAGCTGACGAGTCCGAAACAGGACGAAGTGTGCATCCTGGATTCCACTGCTAGCCATGAGCCATCAACAACATCATACATATTGTTTGTAATAAAGTGATTATTATTATTATTATCATTATTATTATTATTAAGACATTTGATTTGAATGTTTGAAAGAATGAACCATATCTCTTTGAGTTTTACAATGATGAAAAGATTGGGATAAATAACTTGTGTAAGTTTTGACAGTAGAACACAGGAACTTATTCAGTTACTTTATTTTCCTCCTGTCTAGAATTTATGACCTATCAAGAAAGTTTTTTGTTTTTTACACCATAACAAGGATTCAATGACAGTAAAGCAGTTAGAAAAGTTCAAACATTTTACTGTCAAACTTGTAGAAGTTAGTTACTCTTATCTGGGTTCTATGATATTTCCTTAGGTCGAAAGCTGTTCTCAAATGCGTGAATGTATTTTATGCACATCGTAATAAAAAAAATACCTAGCGTATTCAGCCTTGATTACTGAATTATTGTGTTATATATAGGCGTCATTACAAGTCCGCCGAACCACTGTTATCTCACATAACCAGACTGAGAGTTAATATGATGCTTCCCCTCTTTAATTCAAGTAGATTTGGATTTGGATGAGAAGTTCTGATGTGGCAGCTAGTATGAGTATGATCAAGAGATAGTAATCTACCACAAATTCACATGGTAGTCGGGTAAAAACCTTAGTGATTGAAGTGAAATAAAAATTCGGTCAACAGTTGGGTGTTGTATCCTAGTTGGCAGGGCACCAGGTCCGAAACTCGTTTGTTATTGGTTTGAATCTTTCTGTGGCTCAGATTTTTATTGCATGTTCTCTCATTACTCTGTATCAATACAAGTCTACCAAATCTCATAGTCAATCTGATAATTGTATACAGGTGACATAAATCTTTGTTAAGGATAATTTTCATCATGGCAACTTTTTAACCTGTAAAAGGAATGCTTGCTTAAAACTTTCTGTGCGTCTTGACTGTAAAAAGTGGTTTAGTTTCATTTTTCATAGTAAAGCATTCCCGAAGTTCCAGTCACTGACGACAAAACACCTTTTTGTATTTATATATCAACTTTATATTTAACTGAAGTCTATCAGAGGCATATTCATGTATTCTGTTGATTATTTCTCCCACGATCACTCTAAGTACCTTGACTTACTAGATGCTAGTTCATTGAAAAGTGTCCAACTATCAATTGCACCATCAGAGACTTTATTCACATCCTTACCATTTCTAGACTAGATGTATCTTATCAGTATACGTGGACTATTGTTCAGCTCAAAGTCAGTAAATAGATTATCTAGGATGCTGGACTATTTTCTTAGTATTGCTTGCGTTTGGTGGAATAACCAAGTGAGCAACATTAAGGTCAGGCGAAAGGTACTAGGTAAGATAGATAAGTTCATAGATGAGGTTGTGAACCTTAACCAACTGAGGTGGCTTGAACATGTATTGCGCATGCTGAACCACTGCTCACTTTGATGTACAATATTCGGGAAAACTGAATTAGGTTAGAAGAAGGTCCCGAGTGATGAAACCAAGACCTGGCACCAGTCGATGAAGTCCCTGACTGTTGATCTGAGCTGCGTGAGGAGATGTGTACTGCCTGGCTGGGGTCCCTGAGACGAAAGGAATCAACAGCTCAGAACTCTTGGTGACATAACTGAAAATTGATCACAATGGTGTAGATGTATTCACTCCTTGACATCTTCTAAGGCTTGAATATTAGTACTCCTCCTAATCTTCAGATTGTTCATTCTTTCACACAACATTGTCTATTTTGATATGACTTTTTTTTGCATCTATCTATTTTTTGTGTAGTATTATGAAGTGTAGCAACTTGAGCCGATGCACCTGTTTCCGATGTTCTACCTTGATTTTATCAGTGTATACATGAATTATAGCATCAATGTATAGCTGTGGTCATTTCTAAATGGATATGGTACAAAACGTCAGTGACAACATTCATTATTAGTTAACCGAACCTATTCACAACTTCTACAATGGGGAGCTCAGTGATGCTTTTGAAGTGGATACAGGAGTAAGACAAGGCTGCCGCCTGCTATCATCCATGATATTCCTGATTGTAGTGGACTGGATCATCCAACAGACCGTGAGGAGCGAGAAGAGGGGCATAGGCTGGACCGCGGAAAAGGGCCTACAAGATTTGGATTTCGCCACCCATGACTTATGTCTAATGTCACACAGACTTGAAGACCTACAGGCAAAAACTAAGAAGTTGACAGAAGAGGCTGGGCAGGGCAGGGCAGCGAAGACTAGACTTCAAGTGGATGTAGAGAAGAGAGTGGTAAGGGTGATGATGATACTTTACCAACAACAAGCTCCAATCACCATCAACGGGAGAAACTTAAAGCAAGTAGTCTCTTTCACCTTCACCTATATAGGCAGGCAGCACTGTTTCAACTACAGGCGGCACAGGCACAGACGAGGACGTCAAAGCCAGACAGGACTGAAAAGACAGCAAGACAGGTGTTCATTAACCTGAAACCAGTGTGGAGATCGACTGCACTACACTGCACTCAGCATAAAGCGTCAACAACATCCAGATACGGATTTTCAACACCAACGTCAGTCAACTCAGTGCTTCCATGTGATGGTTGAGAGACTTGGTGCATTACGAAAGGCATTTCCAACAAACTACACACATTCATCAACAAGTGCCGCCTACGCTCACTCGTTACTGACGATCAGATGACATGGCCAGAATAGTGAGAATAAGCAAGAAGGAACTCTGGCTGGCTGGTTGGTTGGCTGGCTGGTGACAAACCAACGAAGCAAGGATCGATTGCTGAAGAAATATGCACTGTAAGGAAGTGGAAGTGGAGATGGACTGGGCATACAGTGAGAAGGCCGACTGGGGACATGAGGCACCATGCCAGGATATCAAGTGGAAGCCAGATGGGAAACGACGAGTTTGGCGTGGTAGGTGAGAGTGACATGGAGGAGGTAGTGAGAAGAAGAAATGAGAGGTTGTTGGCAGACTTGGAGCCAGGTTCAAAAGATTGTAGAGAAGAGAGTGTAATGGAAACGTGCTACTGAAGCCGTATGTTCCACTAGGAACCCAAGGGACAAATAATAATAATAATTCACAACTTCCAAGAGAGTACTTCACCTATTCACCTTGCTGAAATATCCTCGGTTAGCACTTAAGAGTTAGCTACAGAAACCAGTAAAAGTTTCAAGGTTTCACTTTCAATTTTTCACCTCTTTAAACTATATGAGTAAATTAATTGCTAACATTTCTTACCTTGTTTTTTTTCCAACTTAATTTTCAATGTGATTCATATCGGATTGATCCAATTACAATTCCATATATACAGTATGTGCGATTGCATTATGAAACATGTCCTGAGTTAATATTGCATTTATTACTTCATGAATGGAGAATACGTGTGCCTAATTTAGTCATATCTATTGTCGGTGGATTAGCTAATGCACCATTACAAGCAAAATTACAACAGGTTGTACAAAAAGGTATATTACGGGCAGCTAAAACAACTGGTGCTTGGATTATAACAAATGGATTAGATATAGGTGAGTTTATCATATCCCTTATTAAATTACTGATGAAATATCTTGTTTAGTATTTTTTTTTGTTCTCAATGCTATTTTCTTCTCTTTTCCAATCACTTTAATCATAATGGTGAGTGGTACTGACTAGTATAAAGTTATTGTTGCTAAGTTTCATAACACCCCACCAATAACTAGGAATACAATGAAGAAAAAATCTGTTAACGATATTCCTAAGAAAAGTAACAAGCTAAGTAGTGGTTACCTGAGTTGACAATTCGGTAGCACTATAGAATATTTTCACCATATTTCAAGTCATTTGTAGCTCGGAAATATTCACATATTGATTCTATTCATATTCTTTACTTCGAGTTCAAAACATCCCTATGCTTTCCCAATGCTTTAATTCAAAAGATTTTTTAGGTACACGCACTCTGAAGAGGTTTTAAACATGGAAAAAACGTTTAATTACATATTAGATTTGTTTATTTGATATAGTATATAGTGTAGATAGTATTATTTACTTGATGACATTTCCAGCATAAATTATCATCAATCATAATCATATCAATGTAATCACACTACTTTCAACATTTGATCTTTATAGTCTTGTCACCTCATATTCTTTGTTTCTATTGGTAGTTAAATTTCCCATATCTTTGGTATAAGTCTTGCATCATTTCCATTACATGTGTTGCATGCTGAGTCGATGAAAAAATATTGGACTTATGTACAGTTTCTGATTCACCTTCCTTATAGGGTGATATATGGAGTCTATGAACTCCTTTCTACTCTACGAAGGACTGACGGTGGTTTGAATGCTACTGTCTACAGAAAACTGACACATTCCAACAGATATCTGGAGTTCAGGTCATCTTATTTGATATCAGTTAAGGCGGGTTTGGTCAAATATCTAAATGACAGGACTAGAAGACTGAGTAGTCAGTGCAAGGACCTAAACAAGGAACTGAATCATGTAGAATAAGCGTTAATAATTAATAATTATCCTTTACTATTTATGAAGAAGGTTGTATGAACACACAAGAAATGAAATAATAACAGTAACACGAGTAGAAAGGAGTTCACAGCCTCCATTGTGTTATCCTATAAAGAAGACACATCAGAAACTTTATGCAGAATTCTCCCCAAGATTGGAATTAGGATGGCATTTAAACCTACAAACTCACTTAGGGATAAGGTTTCTTAGCTGGCTTAAGCATCCGATAGAATCAATTCAGCAAAATAATCTAACCTATCAAATAAGTGTGAGGTCAAGTACATAGATGAAACTAGCTGGTCGGGATCAGTTAGAGTAGCTGAACATAGGGAGTTAGCTAAATATAGAATGACAGACCTGAATAAGATCAATAATCTAGAAAAGTACTCGGCTATTGGAATTCACGCATAAATATGCAAATAATAGGATGGATGGGATAAAGCCACTGTACTTAAGTCGAATACAATTTGGTGGAGAGAAAGATTGATTGATGAATCTTTGTTCATAGACTCAGCACGCAACATATGTAATGGAAATGATGCAAGACTTATACCAAAGATATGGGAAATTTTACAAAGAATATGAGGTGACAAGACTATAGAAATCAAATGTTGAAAGTAGTGTGATTACATTGATATGATTATGATTATGAGTAATGGTAATTTATACTCGAAACTGCATCAAGTAAATAACACTCTATCATTATGTGTTATAAATCAAATAAACAAATCTAATATGGCATTAAATTTTACCATAGCGTCTATGTTTTACATTTATATTAAGAGAGGAACGTTTGTCTCGTATTTAGTTTTTTCATTGCCGTCAGTATGTTTTAAGGACTACTTTTCAAATGAGTACTTCATTCGAAGCAGATAACTCAAATCAACCTATAGGACATTAGATTGTTGAAGAAAATCTATATGAAGCTCTGGAATTTGATTTCATGCTTGTTGACACTCTTCAGCAACGTATATATTCAACCTTTAGGGAACTGATATCCTCTCAGAGATTTTAACCTGCATCATCCAGTGCTGTAATTATAGACGTTGCCAGTGAGGTAGGTATTCATGCCATAATTGAATACCTTCTGAACTAGCGATGCATATTCGTTTTAGTTCCACTTTCAGCTAACACAATATAACTATCTCTTTTTTATTTTTCAATAATCATTACTGATAACGACTATTATAAAACTTGTGGATCAGGAATAACCTTAACGATCACCTAAAATAAGGCATGATTTAGGCGCAAGCCTTTGAATGGAAAACTTCTATTCTAATACTTTACTGGCTATTTCACTCTGAACATGTTTAGTACAACCAATTGGCTTACAGTATCAACATAGGTGAATGATTCTGTGATTTATAACAGATATATTCTATGGATTTGCTTTTAAAGCTAGTTACTAGAGTCATCTTTGTTTCTGAGATCACCTACGGTAGGTTCCTTATGATGAAGTGCACGAAGTACTAGAAACAGAAGATTTAACACTTTACATGCCAACCTACAGAAGAGGATTTGATTGTTAGCCATTTCTGATTTCTCTAAGTATTTAGAGATTAAATGTTGCATGTTTTAACAATCTTATGCTTGATTTCATATCAAAATTAATTCAAACAACGAAACAGTCAATCATTCACTCAGTAATCAATATCAAAATACTAAACGTCAACTTTTAGCTATGATAATTAAAAGTCAACAAAACGAATCACTGTTAATGATGAATCGTGGCTAGCAGTCGAATCCAGGATGTACATTTCGTCCTTTTTGGTACTCACTGGTCAGCTGAATGATATTGTTCCCACCGGGATTCCGACTCGGGAGTAATCGCTTCAAACGCCAACACGTTATCCACTACACCACCGAGCCGCGATATCCAGCGGACGAGTCCCAAACAGGATGAAATGTGCATCTTGGATTCCACTGCTAACCACGATCCATCATTAACATAAATAGAACGCCGGCGATATCGAAGTATCCACACAAGAACCCATATACCAATAGAGACCGATCAATTCTATCGAATAAACGACGGTATCATACAAAAACAATTATACTGAAAGTATGCGCGTCTCACAAGAAGTGGCTATCATGGCTCGGTGGTGTAGTGGATAACGCGCTGACGTTTGAAGCGATCGCTCCAGAGTCGGAATCCCGGTTGAAACAACATCACTCAGTGGGAAGTAGGTACATCCAGCTGATCAGTGAATCCCGAAAAGGAAGAAATGCGCATTCTGGATTCGACTGCTAGCCACGATCCATCATTAACATAATTACAACGCTGACAATATTGAGGCATCCGCACAGGAGCTGATATGTCAATAGAGACCGATCAATTCGGTCTAATCAACGACGGTAACATATAAAAATAATTATACTAAAATGGATCAATATTATCAAGTAAATTTTTAGCATCAATGACCTTTATACACATTTATCACTTTTTTCTTCAGTTTTTTTGTTTATGAGTATGATAATGATTTTTCTTGAATTTCTCTTCAACCGGATATTATATATATATATGTACATGGAATTCTGTTTTTGTTTCTCACTATATTTTTTCTCCTGTCTGTGTTATTTCTTGACTGACCAGTCTACATCTTTTAGTCTGAATATTCATAATAATAGCGAAGACAAGTTGATAAATGATGAACGTATTGTAACTATTGTAACTAATTGGCATAAGTTACCATTTGTTTGTTGTTGTTGTCTTTATCATACCAACTTGTACCATTTTCACGTATACAGATGAGTTGATTGAACTTGCTTGAGTTAGGTGATTTATAGTCCTAACTAGGTAAGGTAAGGCAGCAGTCTTACAGTAAAGATACCCCCCCCCCCCCACCTAACCTTTTCCTACAGTTTTAGTAGTTGTATATATTGAGTTTAAATGACACAAGTAGGTTTTTGATCATATAAGAAGAGTGAAATTTCAAAGTGAGAAATGTTTATATTGGGCAAAAAAGATAAATCAGATAATAAGGTCCGCATACTTCACCAACTTAGGTAGTTTGTACATACAGTGAGCATATCAAGTCATACAATGTTAGCCAAAACAAGAATTGTTTAAATGAAGACCATGGCAAGGGATTAGACAAAGAGATTGGACTAGTCCACGAAGTCTCTAACTGTTAGACTAGGACGCGTAGACAGATGTGGTATACCTGACCATGGTTCTTCAGAAGTTAGGAATAAATATTTAAAAACTATTATAGTTCAAAATTGATGAGATTGTTGTAGTTATATATTCACTATTCTTCTTCGTTTTATGATTTAAAACATTTTATTGATCTCTGTTTATATATACTCTTTCTACTGTCTTATTCTATATGTTTACTTTGATAGTATTTTTGGTAGATCTACTTTCATTTTACATGTTTTTTTCTTCAATTGTTGTAGCAAATTCAATGAATATTTACCTATACGAAACTGTACATTGACTACTTACCTGCTTATCTGATATGAAAATATCATAAACATTTTTTTTTCCTTTACCACTAACTGTCTACACAACCTTATATGAATATATTACCCTTACTAAGTCAAATTTTCTAGTTAAAGCTAGGAGAATAAATTTTGTAGAAGAAAATGCATTCCATTATATTTCACCACTTTCTTTTCAGTTGTATACAGGCTATAAGAATTATGGCGATGTGCATCTGAAGCTCTATATTCCACTAAGAACCCAAAGGATAAATAATAAGCATTATTATCATTATATTATTAGTCCCTTGAGTTCGTGATGGAACATACGGCTTCAGTAGCACGTCTCCAGTGAACTCTGTTCTCTGAGATCTTTTGAACCTGGTTCCACGACAGCTCAGAAGCTCTCATTTCCTCCTCCATGTCACCTTTGGACGTCCAACTCGTCGCTTCCCATGGGGATTCCACTCGAGTGGCTGGCCTGGTGCGTGATGTCCTCAGTCGGCCTTTTCAGTGTATGTCCAATCCATCTCCACTTCCACTTTCATCCAGTTCATATTTGTTGAGTTAGTTGTATGCAAATTCTCTGAATTTATGGAAACGTATACTCTGAGACCTTACATATCTTATCCAATTTTCTCTACCTGTTACAAGTATAACACTAAGTCTATTCAAGTTCCATTCTTTCACATTTTGGATATTTTCTTAGTTTACTAGCTTCCTCCTTACTGTTCTCAAGCTTTACATTGTAAACGGAATTACCACTATGCAATTGCATAATTTTACCATAAGATATTCGTTCTAGTAATAACTCATTCAATGTTCTAGTAATATTTATATATATATTTTATATATTTTAATATATATATATATATATATATATATATATATATATATATATATATATATATTTTATATATTATATATTTATATTTGATATGCTTTATAGTAATAAGTGATAATTTAACGAAAACCATAGTCGTCGCATACTTTTAGCTATTTCAAGTCATGCGTTACAATCTGATAGTCTCAGTAATAATATATATTTTATCTATTATACTGCATAATGTTATTGTTGTGACCGAGTGGTGGGGTGGCGCGCTTGGGTATAATGATACTGAGACTCAACAGATACCTCAACTGGATACCTTTACGACTGACCCCCCTCAGTACATTCTGTTTCACTGAGTCGCGGAAAACGAGAAGATAAAGACAGCCTGTGACTACAAGAACAGCGACAACTTTTATTAAGCAAATACATAACATATATGTATTTACAAAACTCTCAGAAAGTGAAGCCACAAATGAACCAATCAGATTTCTTGTATGAGGTCGAATTTCTCCAATCAGGTTCTCATGTCAGTGCATGCATAAATCATGACCTGAACATGATCTGATCACGACTTGAAAACAACTCCCCTATTGGCTGTCTCCTTTTCTCTACGTAACAGTTATATGTCGATGTTTACATTTACATTATCTCTTTCTATCTTACAGGTGTAACTCGACATATTGGTGAAGCATTGAAAGATGAAGTACACATTCGTGGTTCTAATATTGTTGCACTTGGTATAGCACCATGGGGTTATGTACAACATCGTGAATCACTTATTGGTTTAGAGGTATGGTATAGATTATTATCTCTCTTCATTTACACAATATATCAATTGCTGAATCATATAAAACTTCTTGTATTCCTTGAAAGCTAAAAATAATCTGAATGTAGTCTAACAGTAACAAGCTTGTACTGATAGATAAATAATTATCGATAAATAATGAATGAAAGTATACAGAAAGGCAAGAATAATAAAAGATGAAATTACAGTCATCTTTCTATGGTTTGTTATGAATCGATATCATTTCGAGTATCAATGAAAGATAAAGTTTGAGTTGACAGCTGTACAGAATAGAATTCAATAGTTTCTATTCTCCTTACTTTAGAAGTTGTTATCGATTTGTGACAGAAAGTGTCATGAGAACAATCAGTTCTCTACAAACTCATCAAATCTATTTCAAATTCACTGGTCATTACTAAATTAACCTTGAAATCGATTTCTATTGGTTGTAATAGGAAATCATGTTGACCTATGAATGTTCATAAAAGACACCAAGTGAAATTTGTTTAAACTAAGTCATTGAAATTCAACATATTAGTCTACTAGTCACTTACTTGCCAAAATATCTTATAATTCTGGTATCTATCCTATAAGAAATGTTTGTGTTAATTTATTATTCTCTTATTTTCAACGATTATGTGACTGATATCGATTTATAATGAAATTGACCTTGAGAATAATTAATTCTCCGTGAATCAATCTGTTGAATGACTTCTGTTCACTTTTAATTGATGTTTAGAAAAATATCATGATATTAATCATAGGCTTACACTGGTATTCATTCCTAACATTACTATGAATTTGTTGCAGAAAGTATTCGTAATTCAAATTGTCTGTACTACGAATTCGTTAATTTTTAACTTTAAGTTCATTTTAGTTTACATGTGCTTTGTTGAATATGGATGAATGATGGATCATGGATAGCAGTGGAATCCAGGATACACATTTCGTCCTATTTCGGACTCACTGGTCAGCTGGATGTATCTACATCCCACTGAGTGATGTTGTTCCCACCGAGATTTCGACTCTAGAGTGATCGCTTGAAACGTCAACGCATTATCCATTACATCACCGAGCCACGATAGCTATTTCTTGTGTGATGGGTATAGTTTTAGTATCATATAAAAACACTTATACTCATTGAATATGTTATTATCTCTGTCGATCCAAAAGAAAAGTGAAGTCCAACTATGCGTCTAATTTCAGTATATTCAGTGTGAATTGTTCCGTGTGTTGGTATTTTAGTTGACAGTATTTTTAGGGAGGAAATTAGCACCCATCTGGAAGCAGTTTGATCTAGATGACGAGTTCCGAATAGGACAAAATGTACGCCTATAATTTTACGACTAGGAAATAATTATTACTATCATTTTCAAAAATGTTACTAAAATAATTACTTCTCTCTATCAGTTTGACTATCTGAGATAGCCATGGTCTGGCATACTGGCAAGATTTAAACCAACGACCTTCTGGTTTCCCACTTGATGGTCTGCCAGCCAAGCTACCAGACTTGGTTGCTAACCAAACCTAACTTTTCTGTCTCATGAAATAAAAATGTGGATTTCATTTAGCCTGTTTGGAACTCGTTATTTGGATTTACGTGCACCTCAGTCAGTGATGTTGTTTCCACTGTGACTCGAACCTCGTACCTGTCGCTACAGACGCCAAGGCGTTATCCCCTATGCCACGGACGAACGATAGCTACTTCTTGTACAACAGCTAGTAGTTATTACTATTTATTGAAATATACTTGTTATTCTCCGTAGTTTTATTGGATCGAAATGTTCTACCAACCGCATTACCATAATTAAAACATGCAATATAGAGGTATCCACATAGGAACCCATATGCCAATAGAAGTCGAACAATTCAGTCCAATGAAACAACGGAGAACTACAAGTATATATGAACAAATAGCTATAACTACTAGCCGTTGTAAAAGAAGTGGCTATCGTTCCTCCATGGCACAGTGGATAATGCCTTGGCGTTTGAAGCGATAGGTATGAGGTTCGAGTCTCAGTGGGAACAACATCACTGACTGGGGTACAGGTACATCCAGATGACGAGTCCCAAATAAGATGAAACGTGCGTCCTGGGTTCTTCTGCTAGCCACAATCAACTAAATTACCATAATTAACATTTAGGCAATATCGAGGCATCCGCATACCAGCTAGCCCACATGCCAATAGAGGTGGAACAATTCAATCCAACAAAACAACGGAGAATTACAAGTATATCGATAAATAATAATACTTCGTAACTATTATAAGTACATAACAGTTTTTTTCTCACTAGGGTTGATGAACGGTTATTAGACCAGTTGACCTATATATTTCAATACTCATGTTCTGTTTTTATATCTGTATATATGAATTTATACTTCACTGAGGAAATCACTATTTATTTGTATTGATTGATCATGTGAGAACAACTAATTTCATGTTGCCTAGTTGTGAGTGCAGACCGAATTTTATCGATCATATTTGCACTGTGGCCAGCAAGCTAGGAGGCTCAGCATCACGGTGCACATTAGTACATGTTAGTTGGTTGTAGACAATAGACAGGAAGCGCTGGACGTAGGTTTCATGTTTGGCACTCGTCAGTAAGGCGTATGTACAACCCCGACGAAATTCATGTCCTGCCTGAGATTCGAACCCGTGTTGTGTTGTAGTCGATGACTTTACCACTGAGCTATTCGGCCTGCAGCCATGAACACTGGATGATGCGGGTTCGAATCTCAAGAGGGACATCAGTTCCGTAGAGGTTGCACATACGCCTTGGTGACTAGTGCCAACAAGGAAGAAACCCAGGTCCAGGGCTTCCTGCCAATTGCCGACAACCAACTAACATCACTATTTATTTCTTTGTTTGTTCATTCTTTTTTCAAATATATAATCGAATGATTTTATATAAACTAGCTAGTTAGTGATAATAATAGCAGGGCATATTCACGCGTAATATATTTGATACCGAAATTCCAGTTATGTTTATTTAATTAGAGTTTGGACAAAGGTTTTCCAGAGTTAAATAGGGTCAGATTTTAACAATGAATTGAATTTTGACCCTATATTACCTTGAGTAAGAGAATAATTGGGATTAATTGTATTTTCTCGGTATGTTGGTCTCAAATTACTAATCTTCATGATATGACTAGCTCTGTATGATAACATATCTGACTATAATACTGGATGACGCGACTTTAGATCTCAAATAAGACATCGGTTACCTTGAGGTTTCAAAAATGCCTGGCTGACGAGAGCCAGCAAGCATGAAACCTACGTCTAGGGCATTTTGGCGATTGATTCTATCCAACTAACATTTCTCTTAGTATACGGCGATAGTATCTCCCTCTAGTCTGGTGGTCACACTGCAAAATAATCGATATAATTCGATCAGCATTTAGGACTAGACAACACAAAGTTGGTTACCCCTCCAACTAATCACTATCACAAATCTTTATTTTCCTTCAAAAGGAATCAGACTGATTAGTTTATGCGGAATTGATTAATTGATTTCAAGCTATTTTTCATCATTTCTCCATAAACTGATCAGTAAAATAACAATAACATGTTTATGATTGCTTCATCTTCAGAATGACTAACCGAGGTGTTATTGAGAGACTGTAAACTTTAAAGTCAGAAGTCGTATTTCAGAGCGTATGCCCATCATCGAAATTGGCAGACAGTAGAGTTACATCATAATCTAACAGAAGTTGAAAATCCATCGTAGAGTGACATCAGTTGGAGGAACAAAGGAAACCTGGGAGCACTGGACAGCTGTTTCGTCCTAGTATGGGACTCCGCAGCAGTGCGCACCCACGACCCCACCAGCAGGGATCGAACCCGCGACCTTCAGGTTCCGCGGCTGGGTCAGAATCTAATGCTCCATATTTCCAACTTCTGTTAGCTTACGATATATAGCGCAACCGCCACCCAATGTCATCGCTGAGTATTTGTCCTCATGGCCATCAGGCTTTGACTCCACCGTAAGCCAACAGAAGTTGGAAATATGGAGCATTAGGTTCTGACCCAGTGGCTCAATGGTAACGCGCTGGCCGCGAAACCTGAAGGTCACGGGTTCGATCCCTGCTGGTGGGGTCGTGGGTGCGCACTGCTGGGGAGTCCCATCCTAGGACGAAACAGCTGTCCAGTGCTCCCAGGTTTCCTTTGTTCCTCCAACTGATGTCAGTCTTCGATGAATAACAACTTGAAATAATTCCAAATCTCCACAACTCCCTCAGAAGTTGAAAAAACATGTGTAGTCCAGTCTTAACCTGGTAGGTGAGTAGTAACGTTTACACTGCAAGATATGTGGGTCCCATGTTCAGGATAACACACGTAGAGTGTGAGTTTCACACTTGTTGACATTCGACAGTCAGTAATCTTTTATGAAGTTTTAGTCACATCCTGAATTGTCTCAAACTAACGTTCATAAGCTACCAGTATTGGACCGTACAGATTGATATTTCACTTCAACCAGTTTCATAACTTCCATTCAGGTTTCAGTAAGTACCTAACAGTTACTTCCATCCTCGTCAATCATCTAACACTAAATACCCTTCAACAAATCATTGCACTAATCAGTTTACCATCTATGTTGAATATCCTTACTAAGCAAATTCTAATTAATACTAATAACGTCTTTTTTAAATATTGTTTTCTCCTCTTCAGAACACTTGTTCCTACTATTCACAAGGCTGGAGACCGGGACGTCAAGAAGCTCCACTGAATTCAGATCATAACTATTTTCTATTAGCAGATAATGGAACAGCTGGTAAATTTGGTGGTGAACTTGGTCTTCGTCGACGTCTTGAACAACATCTTGCACAACAACCAATCGATATGCGACGTTATGGTAAGTTTACTGATATAACATAATCTAGCCTATCGATAAGCACCATGTTAATTTCCCCTTTAATTACTATTCTCCATATATGATACATAAATCCTTGAGAATTACCGAAAACACTTCATTCATCGTAATCAATCTTTTTCTTAAAGATGTAAAAACATTCCCATTTTTGACCCAACAATCATTCTTTTTCTTAGGTATCATTACTGTTACTATTATTATCATTATTATTATTATTATTTGTTATTTGCCCCTTGGGTTCCTAGTGGAACATAGGGAGTAAGTAGCACGTCGCCATTTCACTATCTTCTCTCCAGTCGTTTCAAACTGGCATCACAACTACCCATCCCCTTCATTTCTTCCTCACATGATCTACTACATGTCATCTTTGTATCGGACTCCCAACTCGTCGTTTCCGTTTTAGGTTTCACTTGATGGCCTGGATATGTGCGTGATGTCTCAAATGGTCTTGTCAGTGTATGTTCAATTCAATGCATCTACACTTTTTTCTGCGTATTTGTTGCGTGATAGGTTCTTAGTTTGTTGCCAGCCAGCCAGAGTTCCTTGTTGCCTATTCTTATTATTCCGGCCATCTCATCTGATCTTCAGTAACGACTGAGCGTAGGTGACAGTTGTTGATGAATGTGTGTAGTTTGTTGGAAATGCTTTTCGTGACGCGCCAAGTCTCTCAACCATCACATAGAATCACTGAGTGAATTGACTGACTCACTGTTGAAAATCCGGATCTTGTTCACCCTTTATGCTGAGTGTAGTGTAGTGTAGTGTAGTGCAGTAGATCTCCACACTGATTCCACATTAATGCAAGAAGGCCTGTGTTGCTGTCTTTCAGATCCTGGCTGGCTGGCTAGCTGGCTTTGACATCATCATCTGTGCCTGTGTCGCCACCTGTAGTTGAGACGATGCTGCCTAGGTAGGTAGGTAGGTAGGTAGGTAGGTGGGTAGGTGAAAGAGACAACTTCCTTTAGGTTTCTCCCCTTCATAGTGATTAGTGCTTGTTGTTGTTGTTGTTGGCTGGTTATCTTCATCATCTCCATCTTCTCCACCTTCACCTGAAGGAAGTCCCGTCTTCCTGTGCTGCCCTGCCCTACCCTGCCCTGCCTCTCTTCTGTCAACTTGTTGGTTTTCGCCTGTACATCTTCGAGTTTGTGCTACAAAACATTAGACAATAGTCATCATTGTTGGCGAAATCCAAATCTTGTAAGGTCTTTGTTTTTGCATCGGTCCAGCCAGCGCACGCCCATCTTCACATAGCTCCTCATGGTTTTCTGCATGATCCAGTCGATTCGAGTCGACCACAATCAGGAAGATGGTCGGTGATGGTAGGCGACAGCCGTATTTTACCTGTCAACTTGTCTTCACTTCAAAGGTGTAACTGAGCTTTCCATTGTGGATCAGTTGGCATGTGGTGTCGTCATATAGGATATATAGCTGTTGTTGAATGAGGTTGATAGAGGTTTGTGGTACTGTAACCGTATTGTTGAAGCAGCTGCTGGCTATCGAATGTCTTTTCAAAGTTGGTGACTTTGAGGTGGAGTTGATTTGAGTTGAGTTGAGTTGAGTGGTATTGTGTGCTGTTTTGTATGATGATGCGTAGCGTAGCGTTGTAATTCGATGCATACATGATTTGTACTTCCTCAATCCAGCCTGTTCCGGTTGTAACTATATGTAATCAGGAGGAGTAATTTTGAAACTAAGGTCCATTAATATAATTGTTCAATAGAGAGTATCCTTCAGTCATTTAACCAATATTTATTGACATGCAGTTGCCAGTATAATGTATAAGCATCATTTTTCTTGTATGATATTACTCTTTTAGTTCATTTTTTCTCCACATTTATTTTGTTAATTATTATAGTTGGTCAGCTATTGTTTGTTTAATACCTCATTGAATCTTTTCGATTCAGGTAGACTGATACGAGCACAGACATTGAATGTAGATGAAACAGGTGAAGTGATAGCCAATAATGTATGCTGTGATTATCATGGATATCATATGGGAATGGTGTTTCAACAAGATCATCATTTACGACACCATATGGAGGGCAAGTGATAATACTTCTACTATCAACTGATCTCCTCTACATCTTTTCATTTATATATTTAGAACACTTAATTACTACTCTCTATTAATAGAGTAACAAAGTTTTTTTTTACCAAATTATTATTGGTGTAATTATCCCACTGTGTCCTAGTACACTATATGCATAAAGTTATGACTAGACTCTGTATCATCTATCAGAGTTTTATTTATTTGGTCAATTTTACACCAATTTAATTATTAGATGATTTGAATTTTAGCCAATTCATGAGTAGAAGATTGCACAGTGTGTTTATTAGTAGTAGATTAAATTTAGTGTTATTGCTTGTATTACACCGTCGTTGATTGAACCGAATTGATCAGTCTCTGTTTGTTTATGGGCTCATATGCGGATGCCTCGATATTGCCTGTCTTTTTAACAATATATAGTAATGATGAGCAGCGGCTAGCAGTGGAATCCAGGATGCACATTTCATCCTATTTGGGACTCACTAGTCAGCTGGATGTACCTACTTCCCACTGAGTGATGTTGTTCCCACCGGGATTCCGACTCGGGAGTGATCGCTTGAAACGCCAACACGTTATCCACTACACCACCAAGCCACGATAGCCATTTCTTATGCGACAGGTATAGGTTTAGTGTTATTGATTGTATTACACCGTCGTTGATTCGACCGAATTGATCAGTCAGCAATTTGGTGTCGTAGTTCAGTTGGTAGAGCATCGGGTGGGAAACTTGGAGGTCGCTAGTCGGAATCTCGTCACAGTTCAGATTTTCATTTCATGAGAAGACTTACGAAGTTAAAACTTCACTGGTAAACAGCTACTGATCAAAATGTGCGTATATGTGTGTTGTCAAACTTTTCTCCGCAAATACTTTCTAAGAATGAATGCCGGAGATAAGTTTAAAAGAGAAATCGTTATCTTAGTTTTTCAGTTTTGACTATCCTGGTGAGAGTGATTACTGTGAATCATAATTTAGTCATCTGTTTTCAGAGGGAATTCTTGAAGATTGAGTAAAATCCTCTTACTAATAGATTCGATAGTATAAAGCTGCGAACAGATAGACAGATTAGCATAGAATTGGACATAGAGACTCATCGATCCAAGTTAACACACTTCAGAGTGATATGCAAAGAACAGTTGGATAGATGAAAGGTGATAATAAAAAAGACAATTATGTATTAGAAGAAAGATAAGATAAAATACTTCAAGTTGTTATTCATCGAAGACTGACATCAGTTGGAGGAACAAAGGAAACCTGGGAGCACTGGACAGCTGTTTCGTCAGACTAGTATGGGACTGACTCCTCAGCACTGCACACCCACGACCCCACCAGCAGGGATCGAACCCGTGACCTTCAGGTTCCGCCACCAGCGCGTTACCATTGAGCTAGCCGCTGGGTCAGAATCCAATGCTCCATATTTCCAACTTCTGTTAGCTCACGATATAGCGCAAACCGCCACCCAATGTCATCGTTGAGTATTTGTCCTCACGGCCATCAGGCTTTGACTCCACCGGTCACGACTTGTCATTGGAACTTCGGGAATACTTCTCGAAGCTAGTCACCAACGAGCACTAGTTCAATTAAATTTTGAGGGGGTTGTGGAGATTTGGAATTATTTCAAGTTGTTATTCATCGAAGACTGAAGACTTTCATCGAAGACTTTGTTCCTCCAACTGATGTCAGTCTTCGATGAATAACAGCTTGAAATATTTCCAAATCTCCACAACCCCCTCAAAATTTAAGATAAAATACGTTTAAAACAATTTTCAAGACTTTGGAGATGAAAAAGAGTAAATATATTAATCATTTTGTGATGGACTTTGAGTCACATAGTCATATCTGCAACCGATAATTCTTATCATGTTGAGGAATCTCAGCCAGTCAGACAACACTTGTCTATACTACTCAGGCTAACAGTTAAGTGTTTCATGGGTTGATGCCAAGTTTTGATCTAGTTATCCTTGACTCTCTTCCTATTTTCACTGACATTGTATGCCGAAGTAGGTGATTGTTCGGTTTGCTAAACGGGTGACGAAGCCATCTAAGATGACGTTTCATGCCCAACTGCGCTGCCCACTCATACGATAGTTTCACAATATGTGGGCAATTTTACGAAGATATCTGCGGTCAAAAACTTATAATTTCTTATTATCTACTATTGATGGTCACGCGTCACAGCTGTATATTGAGACAGAGCAGACTGTAGCATAGTACATATATATCCCTTAATGGTTGGTCGGATATTTCTTATATGGTATCTCCTATTTCTCCTTGTAACCAAGATGCAAATCGAATAATTTGTTGGTTTTTGTTCTTCTTAAACTACTGTGATATTAGTTGGTGTATGAAAATCAGGTTTAAGCCTCAGGGTTATTATTGTTTCATGTTATAATATAACAAGTATCTTAGCTCTGCTTTTTCAACTTCTGTAATTATAAGGTCAGTAAATTGACTGAGCATTAAGTGTTTAAAAACAACGAAAAAACTGTTTATTAATGAGGCAGTTTTCAAGTGATTTAGAGTATGTCGGTCACCTTTGTACTCCCGATTGACTTTTGTTTATCAAACTGTTGTAAGTTTTAGTATTATCAGATCACATATTGATTAACTGACTGAGATTCTAATCGTATTATATTCACAGCACAAAATCCGTTTGCATTCATAAACGAATAACAACTTCTTCATAGACTTTGTACAACTAACACAAGAAAATGATATCACTTTGACTTACTATAGATGCTGCAACTGAAGAATTTAAATACTTGTTTATTGAATACCATAATGCCTTGTAAACAGACCAATTGAATAGAGTATTTCAAGCAGAAGACGATAGAGCCAATCAGAAAAGCAACTTATACCCAATAAGATAAATTTTCAACAGTTTCATGGATATAGATCAACACTTGGTCTTCAGATATCCAAAGTGAAGCTATACTT